TTGAATGTGGTTCTTGAGTCTGGTTCTGGAGTCTGGTTCTGGAGTCTAGTTCTGGAGTCTGGTTTTGAGTCTGGTTCTGGAGTCTAGTTCTTGAGTCTGGTTCTGAATGTGGGTTTGGATGTGGCTCCCGGTGGGCCCTTGTGTTTTTCTTTGATGCCACGTCGGTCCCAGAGATCTTCTGCGTCTTCATTGACACCATTGCGTTGTTGCATCGGGGACATGCATGGAGACACAGGTCTCGCCACGGAATCACCGTAAAGCATATGTTAGTTTGAGGCCCTTTGCGGCCCACTATAGAACCAGCAAATGCTTTTCCATTGGCCGCATTCCCGCTGCATCCTGGATGCCCGGTGGTCATGGTCATGGCTGCGTGTTTTCCATGAAACAAGGGTTCTAAGAAATTGCGGGACGCCCATGTTTAAGGCGAGTCTAGTGCAAAGACTCCATTGGGGCCATTGACGCCGGCGTGTGTTCTTTCCGTATCTGGGCACTGGACGCTGTTTGGATTGAGCTCGCGATACCTGCTTTTTCTTTGGAACTGCCTGATGCTCTTGGACCTGGTTTCCTCCCGTTTCTCCCTTTGGATCTAGTCTCCTCTCGTTTCTTCCCGTTCCCCCTTTGGCTCTAGTTTCCTTTCCTTGGCTCTGCTCTGTTTACATCATCTGCTCTCGTACCCATTTGGGCCTTGCTTTAACATTCTTTGGTATTTACGAAGCAAAGGGTTCAATATCACTTGATTCGGCTAGCTCGGGGCGCCCTGATATTGCCAGGGGCGTCTTGACTCACATGTTCAGCTGATGTCGCTTTGTTGTTTTGAGGCTGGGGACTGTTTCGTCCTGTTCGCTGTAGCCTGTTGCGTGTATCTTCCAAGGCGTGAATACACCACCACCGACTATCATGATACTATTCAGCAGACGCCTGGTCTTCCATCAAGGGAGCAGTACATCAATCAGGCTGCTCCATCTTTCACTTGTTACCATGGCATTTAAGCTTAAGTATTTTAAACTTATATAAGATATACCAATATATAGCGATGTTAAGAGGCTCACAACAACCTCTGGATGCGTCTGAGTAAAATGGACTATACCTTTAAACATCTTCATAATTTCCTCTTTTAAAAAAATCTTTCAAGTACGATAAAGAAAATTATTGGTATCAGTTTTACAAACTCTCATATCTTTTGGATAATAATACTGAGAAATTAAGCGAAATCTATTACTTTTTAATGTTCTTGATGGGTTAATTTTGGAATGATACAGTACTTCCAATATATCTTTCCTACTAGAAACATATGTTCATAGAATTTATATTTAGCATCATCCAAATAAACATTTCCATTAAATAGCATAGATTAATTCTGATTTTTTTGCTCGCCGAAAAAGCTAACTGATTATTTGTACCATTATACTTAGTCTTCCATCACCATCAAAACACCAGATATCAAGATTTATTCTTTGTTAATGGTTTAGGTTGCTTAACAATTATATATACAGATTACATATTTTAGTTAATTGTATTTTCTAATTTCTCCATTAACAACCTTAATCAATGTAGTTAAACCTATTTTATTATTTAATCCATACCTCATAAATGTATTTATAGTTCTGAGTTTAGCAGAACCTCCAAGATTTCTATAAATCTTAAAGCTTTCTCATCTCTACTATCCCAAAACTAAAGTTATCAATGAGGCATATCCTTTTTTGACAACCATCACCATCAATTAATCCACTTAAGCACTGTATATTTTAACATCTACGGATCTATCTATCTTATTATTAGTCTCCGGACTATGCTACAGGGGTCCGATACACCCGCTAATGTTAATGTACCGGGTGAGCTAGTTGAATATTCTCTTGAAACTTTATCGAGAATAATGTGCGACAAAAGTATAGTCTCTGAGGTTCCTACTTTTGTGCTATGCAAGTTTGCTACCTGCGAACCATTACATCTTTTCTAACTTACATCTATATAGTTGTAGGTTATAGCCTTTTTATCAGGATATACTTTTACTTTAGAGGCATTAATTACAAGACTTATACTTAAAGTGCTATAAAGAAAATATCTATTAAAGATATATATATGTAAGTCCTCATCTTCAATTTAAGCGCATCGAACAAGAGCCACTGTCTCGAATTTGGCTTCTCGCCTGGTCATTTGAATTGATTTGGTATTGGTGTCGCTTCCTCTTCGTTTATCCTTTTCAAGTCGCTTCTCCTCTTATATCGACTTCAGGTTGCTGCCAAATCTGCCCAAAACTCGGGAACCTGGCTCTGCTCCGATACCCCCTTATACTCCGGACCGTTTTATTAGCGGTTTGGTTAAGATTGTGAGCAGGACACAGATAGGCCCAACAAAGTGAACGCCACGCAGCAGCATGCCCGATTCAAGAGACCCAGGCTACACGATATCGCTGCGGCCCAATTCAGAATATGTACAGAAATATTGATTTTAAGCTCACAAATCTCTCATACAAGACTGCCCGCCATGTTCTGCTTGGCAGAAAACGATTTTCTAAGTTTGAAAGTAAGTCAAGAGAAGAGAATGCTAAAGTAGCCAGAATCGCCCCAGAAATGACCATTTTCAACAATATTATGAGCAATGAGCTACGATCTTTTGATTTGAAACTACAGCGAATGGAACATTTCGAAGCACACTATCTTGTGCATATGGCAACGGTGTACTTTACTGTCTTAAAATAATGTCCTCCAAGACAGTCGATACCAAACGAAACTTCGCTCAGCACAAGGAAAATTTCAAGATTTGTTTGAAGAGCAAAATTGCTTCCTGGCTTCCACAACTGTTCTCTTTTGACAAGGATAGGACAAACATCACTAGGAACACCGCTGACCAGTGGTTCTCTGACATTGTTGATTTTTTACATCTACCAATTGAGGAAGGAGACGACGAAGAAGACAAAGAACCAGACAATCAAAACTATGACGAACTAGGCCTCAGTAAGTACTTCAGGGTGCCATCATCACCATTCTTGATTTGCATTGTTGCATGCATCATTCTAGACAACAACCACACATGGGTTTCTTAGAGGGCATTGCGAGAAAAACCATCGATTTGCCATTCCACTTCTTGTACAAACTAATGAGCAATGATCTTGCAAACGATCACTACAATCCCCGCGACACAATTTTTCTTCTATCTTTGGATTCACCGAGTTTACTTATACGTGTACCAAGAGGTATTTTCTCGAATCAGATCCCAATAATCTTGCATCCACTTTTCGTCGCAACACATCTTGGAAAGCGTACGACCTTGGATTCCACAACTGGTTCGAGGAAGAAACAGTCTTGCTAAATGTTAGCAAATACGTGCTTCCAGATGATTTTGGAATCAGCCCAAAGTGGAAACGAGGCTTTTAAGGATTACATCTAGGATGTGTTCACTGCGCTTGTGGCGAATCACGACACCAAAAACTCACCTCAACAGGCAGAAACGGCCTTGATTCTGGACTGCTTGTCGCAAGGCTGAAGCTCATGCCGCGTCGAGTGGTTGTACCTGCTTTTCTGTGCAAGCGTTTTCGAGAGAACACTCACCTCGCAATTTGTCGCAGTCTGTCGTCTCTCTTCCCGAAAACGGAGCAACAAAAGAAAATGAGTTCTTTATTGCAAATGTTCGGGGCAAAGGTGAAGTGCCATGCGACGAATATCCACAAGAGAAACACTCTGCACATGAACGTTGTGACCCCGACTACACGATGTCGCCGCAGCCCAAAAAGAGCCGGAAACGTACAGTCAGCCTGGGTCGAAGCGCCCCTGTCAAGCGATTCTGCACGTGAGGCATAGAACCCGGGCCTGTATCCCAGGGCCCGGCACCCCGAGCCAAAAGACCGCCGTACAAAACCGCAACACATCGCCGATCACGTCTCCGAGATCACATGCGGCAGCCTGGAAACCCTTTTTTTTTTGCTTGTTCCCCTCGCCCGTGTTTCTCGTCCATCTCTTCCCCATTTACCGCTTGCGGTAAGCTTGTGGAGTGCGTCGCGGCCGGCCCGAGATCTCTGCGCGCGCAATGACATAAATGTGCGGAGTTAAGCCTGGTTTTCTCTCGACTCCACACCCAGTGGCAACTGGCAAAAAACCAAAAAAAAACAAACATCGCGGTTCTGCAGAAGAGCGTGCCACAGAACGACTTGCTAACACTCGCTGCTGAACGCCCACCCTCGCCCGCGCTTCTGGAGTCCTGGTGGTGCAGTCGCCAGAGCAAGCAAAGACTCGCAACCTCAACCACGCGTCTTCAACCATGGGGGACAATTCCGCCCGCACAGCCGAAAATGGCAGCGGCCTGCCGGGGCGCAAGCCAAGCCTCCTCCGGAAACTCTTCCGGCGCGTACCCAAAACACCGGGCTCCGCCGGCAGCACGAGCAGCGGGGACTGGAACCTGTCATCCACGGCCCGGTCCGGGACGTCCCGGAAAACCGACACGGTAGGCTCGCAGAACACGCTTCTCGCCGGGCTCTCCGGCTTTTCCAGCAGCAACGACCTGGACGACGAGCCCGACGACAAGGCGTTCGACGAGCACTCGGAAAACGGGCTCGATTTCCACGACATCATGCTGGACGAGGACGCCGACCTCTCGCACCAGACGCCCGAGGAGCGGGGCCTCAGCTTGCTCCGCGCGGCCGACAACAAGGACGTGGCCGAGCTCTTGGCCAGCCTTCTGCCGGAGGACATGCTGGCGCCCAAATACATCAAGGCCACGCGCAAGAATAACCGCAGCCCGAAGGTGTTGAACCACCTCTTCTTGGCGCAGGAGCTCCGCTGCTCGTCCGTGACGGACTTGAAGTTTCACGCCGAACACGGCGCGGACGCAGGCGCGGACGCCCGCTCCGACACTGGCTCGCCGGAGCCCGGCGCCGACTCCAAGGCGCCCGCCAACCTGCACGAGATCTTGGCCATGGAGTTCTCGCGGGACGGCAAGTACTTGGCCGCGGCCGGGCGCGACTCGCGCATCCGCGTGTGGCAGGTGATCGCGTCGCCGCTCAGCAGGCTCAAGTACAAGAACTTCGAGAGCGCCCACGACGAGGGCGGCGGCCGGCAGAAGCAGAAGGCGTACGCGGGCGCGCCGGTGTTCCTCCAGGAGCCTGTGCGCGTGTTCGAGGGCCACCACAACTCGGTGCTCTGCCTTGACTGGAGCAAGAACAACTTCTTGCTTTCCGGCAGCATGGACAAGACCGTCAAGCTCTGGAACATCGAGCGTGACGAGTGCCTCGAGACGTTCCGCCACTGCGACTTCGTGACCGCGTTGCGCTTCCACCCGACGGACGACCGCTTCTTTGTCAGCGGCGCGTTGGACAACCGGCTCCGGCTCTGGCTGATCTTGGAGCACTCCGTGGCGTACATGAACGACTTGGGCGACAACGCGTTGATCACGGCGTTGGAGTTCACGCCGCTCGGCAACTACTGCGTTGCGGGCGGCTTTAACGGCCTGCTCTTTGCCTTGGAGACGCAAGGCCTCCTGCTAGTCAAGCGCATCGAGGTCACGCGCCGGCCCAGCAACGCGGGCCACTCGGCACACAGCACTACCATCAGCGGCATCAAGGTGTTCGAGAACCCGACCTGCGCAGACGTGCCCAGCCTGGCGCTCACCAAGTGGAATCTCTTGATCACCACCAGCGATTCCACGGTGCGGCTCGTGGACTTGTCGCTCCGCAAGTTGGTCACGCGCTTCAAGGGCAACTCCAACCACAGCTCGTCCATCGTGGCCAGCTTGAGCGAGGACTGCCGGTACATCGTGTGCGGCTCCGAGGACCATTGGTGCTATGTGTGGGAGAACAACAACGCGGTGATCAACAGCAAGTTGCGCTCGTCCATCAAGGAGATGCTCCTCGACGGCCGCAACCAGCTCGACGAGAAGCACAAGCGGATCTCGCGCCTCCTCCACGACAACATGCTCTGGAAGAAGTTGCCCATGCAGATGTTCCTCAAGGACGAGAACGGCAAGAAGTACATTGCCAACAACAACTATAGCTACTCAGCGTTCCACGCGCACAGCTCGCGCGTCAACGTGGCGCTATTTGCCCCGGAGAAAAGCAAGCGTCTCCTCCAGTTCGCGGACGACAAGATCTTCGACCTTGTCAAGCGCGGCACGCTGTTGACCGGAACTCAAGGCAGCGAGCTCACCGGCGAGCCGCCCTGGGGCTCGGACCACATCATAGTCACCGCGGACGTCACCGGCCTAATACGAGTGTTCCGCCAGGACCCCGCTCACCACATCAGGAAGAACCTTCTTGAGTTGGCGAAAATGCAGAAACGAGACCGTTCCCGCAACCTCCTCGACCCGCCCCTCAGCCCGGACCTGAGCCATCACGGGCGTGCCTCGAGTTTCCGGGACGAAATGTCGCTCAGAACGCCCAGCAAGAGCCCAACGCCCGACGGAACCGCCGGCATCAGAAACAAGCTCCACCTGAAAATCCTCACGCCATACTCGCGGACCAACAGCGGCTCCTCCGTGCGAGCAGCAAGGCTGAATTCGGATCTCTCTAGAAATGCATAGACGTATTAGCGAGTCTTCTATTAAAGAGCTGTTTTGCTCACGCCGCAGCCATCAAATCATCAAGCTCGGAAGCCGCGGGCTGGCCGGCCCCGATGATCTGCTGGAACAAGCCGCCGATCTTGTCTGTGTTGAGCTGGATTCTCGCTGTTGCCTCCTTAGAAAATGCACCTGTATGAACCAACGAAAACAATTTCAATGTGTAGACACAGAGGTTCTTCTCGGCCAACCACGTCTCGTGTTCCTTCCGCGCAATGGGTTCGCCTTGTTCCCCGGACTCGGGGATGCCACCCAAAGGCGCCACCGCGGCGTCCAGACCGTCAATGTATACGTAATCCTCGTAGTTGACATCCTCGTTGTTTTGTCTATCGAGAGTGATGTCCTTGAGCAGGGCAAGCCTCGCCTCATGGATGAGGAAGACGCCCTTGAGTGATTCCTGTACCACTTGCGGAACTTCGCCCTTGACCAAGGCCCCCACTCCGGAAGGATTGTCGAAAAAGGACAGGAAGTTCTTGAAGTGCGCCCCGTCCCTGAACTTCTCGTAGAATGTCCTGAACGAGACAAGCATGTCGATGTAATGACAGGCGAAGTTATGTTCCAGTACCACAAGGCTTTGCACCAACGAGCGCATCTTGGCATTCGAGTCTGTCGTGGTCTCATTGAGCTCCCTGGCCGCTGCCCCGACCGTCACACAGAGATCGCCGATACTAATCAAAAGACCATTGAAATCCTCCAAGAAAAGGTTTATATCGATCAGGTGGGCAGAGTTGTCGTTGCTCGCGTAGGTGAGGTCTTCGAGCTTCCACGATAGCGATAGCAAGACAAACTCCAACACACACTTCCAGGAGTCGCTGAGCTGGGTGGCGAGCGCGGCGCAGTTAGTGGGCCACATGCGAATGAGGGCGAGGAAGTCGAACTTGGACACCAACTTCACCTGCAAGACGTCCAAAAGCACGTTGGAAGTACCGAAAGTTGGCTCGGCCACATAGCGGTTGATGTTCATTACGCGGGCGATCTGCGAGAACTTCTGGATGATCGGGGTGCTGCGAAGAAGCCTGTTGAGCACCACCTTGTGTTCCAGCGGGAGCGCCGAGTTCTCCGCGCTGTCGTTGGTGTCCTCGAGCGGGTCGTCCAGGAAAAGCGCATCGACGCCTTCCGTGGCGAGGGAGTGGAGGAGGTCCTCGATTTGCAACTTGACGTTCGCGTTGAGGAGCCGGTCCGTTCTCGGCGCCAGGTCGCCGGAGGAGGCGTCGAAGTTCTTCAAGACGAGAGAAAAGTAGGTGTCGAAGGCCTCCTGCAAGGCTGCGTCCGGGCCGGTCATGTCGAAGTAGTAATGGAGCACGCGGTCGTGGACGGCATTGTAGTCGGAGACGCTGGACACGGTGCTGTATAGGCGAGCGATGGACGTCGGGACGGCCACCAAAAGCGAGTTCCAGATGCCCATGAACACCACATAGAGGTCCATGCCCACGCGCAGGTACGCCTCGAGCGGCAAGATGTGGGCGGCGAGCGCAGGGAGGGCCGAGTTGAAGTCGTCGAGCTTGCTCGAGGAGCCGGTCTTGTTCGCGGGCTGCTGGGCGAGGATGTGGATGACGGCCGCCGCGATGAAGCTCATGAACACGTGCTTCTCCGCGCGGGCGGACACATCGATCTTGGCAATGAGCGCCGCGGCCGTGTCCGCGTCCGCCGCGGCGCCGGTCTGCCTGTGCGTGAAGGCAAGGGCCGAGAAGTCGCACAACGTGTACTTGACGAGCCCCTCCCACAGGCCGCGGAACGCCGGGAGCGCGTAGATCTCGCGGAACAACAGGCTAGCCAACACGAACATGGGCTTGCGCTGCCGCGGGCAGGCCACGGTCTGGAAGCGGGCGTGGGCCGCGGCCATGAGCGCGGCCAAGGCCTTGTAGGCGAGGCATTGCGGCACGGCGAGCGCGCAGTCGTCGTCGTCGAGCACGCGGCAGCCGTGCGCCGCGAGGAAGAAGGCGAACGGCTCGGCCGCGGCGCGGGCGTGGTCGTGGCACACGGCGGCCAAGAACAGGCAGGCCGCGGCCTTTGCGCGCGGGTCCGCGTGGGCCGTGCCCTCGAGCTGCGCGAGGTGGAACGCGAACAGGCCGACGTCGTGCACGTCGCGGTCGTCGAGGAAGCCGAGGCGGAAGAGCTCGGCGAGCACGTCGACCAAGAGCACGCGCGGCTTGGCCCGCGGCTCCTTCCACACCATGCGCACCAACTGGTCCTTGAAGCGCTCGGCAAACTGGCGGAAGCCCAAGCTCATGGCCTCGCGCTTGCCGTTGACGAAGCGGAGGAGCCGCGCGAGCAGGCGCACGGCCTCGAGGCGCACGCGGTCCGCCGGGTCCGAGAGGAGCCAGCCCACGTAGCGGAGGTACTCGGCGCGCATGAACATCTCCTCGTACTGGACCATCCACAGCGCCAAGGCCCGCACGCACTCGGCACGCACGTGCGGGCACACGTCGCGGTAGCGGTGCACGAACACGTGCTGGAAGATGTCCGCGAGGTGCTCGGCCACGGTGTTTTTCTGGCGCACGGCCGTGGCCACGGCCTCGCCGAGCACCGCGAGCCGCGCGCCATGCCCGCGCCCGCCGCGCCGCTGCGCGCCCGCAAGCTGCCGCTGCTGCTTCTGCGCCGCCACGGTGATGCTGGCCGCAAGCTCGCAGAGCCGCGTCTGCATCTGCAAGACGAGCGTGGTGGCCACGAAGCGGAGCGCGCGCACCGCGCTGCCGCTGAGCGCCAGGAGCCACGCCACCACCAGGTTCATCATGGGCGCGCCCCACGTCTGCGCGGGCTCGCCGCCCGCCGCCCGGTAGAGCACGCCCTTCTCGTGGGCGCCGGCGACGACGCTGCACACAAACTCCTGCATGTTGTGGCGCAAGCGGCGGCCGCCGCTGCCCGCGGCCACAAAAGGGTACTCGTGCCGCTGCTGGCGGCCGAAAAGCGCGCCGAGCTCGGCCACCGTGGCGCCGGCCGAGTCCTCGTTGAGCATGTCGTGCGGCTGGACCGCGTGTGTGCAGCCGCACGCGCACAAAACCAAGTCGACGAGCGCGGCAAGCGCGGCCGCCGTGTCTGTGTCGCCGCCGGGCTCGAACGCGTCCATCCATTCGAGCGCCAAGTCGGCCACGGCCACGTCTGGCTGTGCCAAAGCGCTGTAGAGCGCGTTTTGCCCGGCGTCCGCCGGGCCGGCGGCGCCCGCGGCGCCCGCGGCACGTGGCCTTGCTTTTTTGCGGGCCGGCGGCGCGTCCTCCGGCTC